AGGACGAGCTAGCGTGGACCCAGTATATTTTTTTAAGTCTACTGTTGAACAACCTGCCACTTTCTTGTGGTATTTAGGAACATCTCCGGGGGAAATCCATACGACAGTTTCAGAGAGTCAGTGGGACAAGAGGAGAGAAGACATCAGAGCAGAAGTTAGGTGTTCTCTGTCCAGGAGAACAAGCTATAGTGCTGGGAGAAAAAGAACTTCCCAGGCAGGTCACCACATGGCTGTGTGCGTGGCGGCTACGGAGAGCTGACCTGTCCCTCCTTCCCGTGGACGCACGTGCTGCCTCAGAAGGGGTCAAGGAAAAGGATTCCCAAGGATGGCAGAGCAGAGGAAGCTGTGGCTTTCACAGGGCAGGGAGGGTCACCGTCAACCCCAGACGCAGGAAGATTCCTGCTCAGCTTCTGATCACCTCTTATGCCCACCCCCTAATCCCTTAGGCCCCAGCTATCCTACACTCTAACACCCCTTCCTTAATAATCTCACAGGACTGTCCTAAAACTCTGTCCGTGGGCTCACTCTCGCCCATCAGGCCTTCCTGCCCTCGTGGCTGTCTGGAGTGAGCTTTCTTGAACAGCTGCTCCCCGGCCTAGTCCTCACTTCCACTTCACCCGTTTTTCTTTTTTCCCCAGCATTTGCCATTGACATTGACTTGTGTTTCAGGTCTCCCCTACTCGGATACCACTGTAGGAGAGTGGGGCCTGGCACATGACACACCCACGGCAGCTCCTGCTCCCGTCTGGTCTTGTTCACTGCTGCATTCCTGGGGCCCAGGCCAGAGCCCAGCATGAGAAGCTCAAGTAACTTCTTGAATGAACAAAGATCAAATGAGAATATGAGTGCAAGAGCTCTCTAAACTGTCAAGTATGATGGAGACACAAGCTAAAGCATACTAAAGCATACCACATTTTAGATTCCTTATGTGTATTTTTATAGCTTGTCTGTTTTTTGGCATCTTCTTTATTATTATTGTTGTTACATTGAATTGTTACTATTACTATTAGCCTATTATTATTATTAGCCTATCAAAGAAATAAAACAGCCTGCTTGCCCAATCTGGGTAAGGAAAGCATCCCCCTAAATAATATGGCTACTGGGGTCAACCTTGTGGTGGAGCCCAGGTTCGAGTCCTGGCTGCTCCACTTCTGATCCTGCTCCCTGCTAAGCGCCTGGGAAAGGCAGCGGAAGATGGCCCGGGTGCTTGGGCCCCTGCATCCATATACAAGACCCAGAAAAAGTTCCTGACTCCTGGTTTTGGCCTGGCGCAGCCCCAGCCAATGTGGCCATTTGGGGAGTGAACCAGCAGAGGAAAGACCTCCCTCTCTGTCTCTCCCTCTTTCTCTCTGTAATTATTTCAAAATAAATAAACCTTTAAGAAATGATAATGTGGCTATTGACAGTTTCTCACCTTTTAAGCAAGCTTAGCCAGGACTGTAGGACAATTCCTGGTCATCAGATGGCCACTGTTCTACCCAAGTCTGACAATTGGATCCAAATGCCTTCACAGGCCCCCATGACCCCAATGTTGATTCCACTTAGGGCCCAAGATTCCTTTTAAATCCAGTTGGGAGACTTTAGTTGGTCCACCCAGATTCCTTCAATACACTAGACTACGCCAGGGTCATCACAGCCGTTCAGAATTTGACCTCTGGGTCCAGTGCTGTGGCATAGCGGGTTAGTCTGCTGTGATGACATCCCATACGGGTGCCAGTTCGAGTCCCGGCTGCTCCACTTCTCATTTAGCTCCCTGCTAATGTGCCTGGGAAAGGCAGTGGAAGATGGCCCAAGTGCCTGGGCCCCTGCACCCATGCAGGAGACCTGGATGAAGCTCCTGGCTTCATCTTGGCCCAGCCCTTGGTTGTTGCAGCCATTTTTGGAGTGAACCAATGGATAGAAGGTCTCTCTCTCTGTAACTCTTTCAAATAAATAAAAATAAATCTTAAAAAAAAAAAAGAATTTGACCTTTACTCAGGCATTTTCGGTGGCCTGCAAGGGAGATGTTTCGGAGTTTCTCCAGATCACGCTCTCGTTTGTAGGGCCAGGGCTGAGAGCGTGCTTCGGGGACTCAGGACAGCGCCGGAATCTCTTGCCGGTGCCTTGGCTTCCGGGGCAGAAGATGGATGGCCTGCTCTGACTGGGCTGTGGGGCCGTTCCCTGGCACACTGTTGACCACCTCATTCCGCTGAAGAGTTCCCGAAGGCCCCTCCACTGCTGAAGGGAGGGAGGCAGTGGAAGACATTTTTTAAAAAGTTTTAAAATAAAATAGAAAGATAAATATGCTTAAAGCTATTCTATTCCACATGGGTGGCAATAACCACCAGCTGTCACCAGGAAACAGCAGATGTAATTGATAAAACAATTCAAAACTCTGGTGGCTCCATCATCAATAAAGTTAACACCCAAAAAAGTAAATGAAAGGGTTCAAAGTAGAACTGGATAAGCTCCCCAGGTCTGCCAATAATGAAATCACTCAACTACACACAAGCGTGATTTTTTTATGCAGATTAAAGAGGAGGATCAGCTGGGCGACTGACTGTGCAGGGTGAGCGTGGAGCACCATATGTTGCTTATGAAATTGTCATTAACTGAAGGAGCACTGGCGAATGGAGGCAGAGGGGGAACGGGCAAGGAAAAGACAGCCCATCAGGGTTCAGAAGGAAATCGGGTATGTAACACTGTATCCATGATACGGGCAGGATGCAATTTCTAGCCTGGTACAGCAGGGGATGGATGATAACATTATTCATTACCACAGTTTAGCATTAAATGTGCAACACCTACTCTAATTTATTGATGGACTGTTTAAGACGGGTGTTAACCTGTTTGTCTTGTATTATAATTGAATTCAGTCTCTAGGCTACAGAAATTTGAGAAGTTCATCCTTTCTCAATCAATATGCTCCCCTTCAGTGACCCATTTCAAGACAGCTTCATAAAAAATAATGTATTTTGTTTTAATAAATTTAAACACTATGACAGCTGCTCAATTTTTATTGGTTGTTTTTTTTTCCCCTTCAGATGTCTCTTTGCTGCCGAGTGAAGCCAAGCTCACAATCAATAGTAATTGATTAATCAGCATCCCCTTTGAACAAAGGTGCTAATCAGTTTTTGATTAGTTCATCAAACCAGATGCAAAGGGAGCCCAGCCCCAGCCTGATAGTTCATCAGCGCTGTACATGACTTACGGCTCCGGAGCCGTGTGCCTGCCGTGTTCCTGGTGGGGGTGGGGGAGGGGACAATGGGATTATTAACTTAACTGCATTATTATGAACACAAACAGTTGTTGGTTTATTGCTCCTGACTTGGGTGATTGATAGAACTGCAGCAGGGACCCATCTGACATGGTGCAGTGCTGAGACCAGGAGTATTCCTAATAGATGATGCTGGTGGAAAGCCTGGATGGCTGATTTAGTCACGTTTTCCTAAAGAGGAGAAAAATGACTTGCATTTACAAGCGATCTTTGTCTGCCAAGAGGGATGAGGGCCAACCACCGAGAACACCTTTCTTAGGACCCTTAAGAAGACCCAATTGCCAGAGCCACCCTGTCATAGAGTCCTTTTATTTAGGGGTCAGTATTAGAACTGAAACTGTCTACAACCAGGAGCACAGGCTCAAATTGCTGACTTTCAGCATTACAGTTTAAGTAGGGAGAAGGACTTATCTCTTCTTTTTTCAAAATAAAACTAGGTTAGTGTCTTTGCAACTTCCCTAAATATGCCACAAAAAAGAAGCAAAAGTGAAACACTCCCTTGAAGGGATGGCAGTCTTTGCAATCCTCTGTTTATTTATCTAAGTTCACTGAGATTTGGAATTAGTTCATTCATTCATTCCTCCAGTAATTACTAATAGGGTGTTTACTACATGACAGGAATACAGTAGTGAACAAAACCAACAGGGCTTCTTGGAGCTTCAACTCTGTGGAATAACCCAACAGCCCCGCTCTGTGAGACAAAAGGAAAGCTAACCCCAAGGTGTGACGGAAGCACACAGTAGGCAATCAATTGGCTGCATGTGGAAACACTGGGCAGCATTATCTTATTTTCTCACCGGGGAAGACTTATAATTGAGAACTGTAGTGTCAAGGGGCCACTCCTTAAGGAAGCTGTAGTGGACTCTTCAGAAACTGTTCTTTCCACTGGCTGGACCAAGTGCTCACGGTCCTGTGCCTCAGTTTCTCCACTGCAAGGACAAGGGGCCTTGCTTACTTACTCATTTATGGAGGGATGGACGGACATGGTTAAGAAATGCAGCTGGCTGCCAGTGATGTGCCACAGCATCGTGGGTGCTCCTATAATTGCTTAGCTCTGACCACTTTAAATCTCCTTCCTCCCTCGTTTTTAGGATATGCTTTTTATTCTGGATTAGTAACACCTAAATCCTGGAATCAAGCATGAAACCTACTTTTGCAAGAGCTCAGTGTGCTGTGAAAAGGTCTGAGGTGGATAATTAGTTTACATCATGGTGTGTGACAAAACAATTGCCCCCTCCCCTGCAATCCTGGCCCTTCCCAGCTCCTATTTCCAGACAACCATGACATGGCTTTCTTATTCTAGTCCACACAAGTAGACAGCCAATGAGTTCTTCTTTTTCTTTCTTTCTTTTTTTTTTTTTTTTTGAAGATCTTGTCATATAATCCAACATCCTTAAACTGCTTTGTAATGCAACAAAATTTGTCTTGGATCATTATATATCTGGACGTAAATATTATTTTAAGCCATTGAACACAGTGAATGGCTTTACTGTAATCCCAAAGCTAATGTGACCTCTACTGCATTAACAACACCGGCCCCGATCTGAAACATACATATCACTACACCTTGGATGAGAGGTGGGGAGGAAGAAAGTGTGATAAAAACTGGGATTTTTGTTTTTGTAGTCTCAAAATCCATACTTGCTAATTGATTGTTCAGCAAAACAAATGGCCATTTTGTAGAAGTGGACAGAGCACCCACAGGTTGGACACTGCAGTGCCTTACCTAATGACTAGCCCTTACCTGCGAGGTCCTCACTGTCCAGTTCTTCTGCGGAATTGGGCAACTGAGTAAGGCCTTACAAGTAAAAACAAATCGTTTTTCTTTTCATTCCTCGAGGGACATAAACAAAACACTTAAGAACTGAGGATGAATTTCTTAAAAAAAAGAAAAACATGAGCCAAATCTCTTGCTATCTCTCTCTTTTTTGGATAGCATGAATGTCTTAATCCATAAATACATCTCTTCAATCATATAATTTTGTTATTGATACACAATCGAGGCAGAAAGATTCCTCAGTCTCCACTGTTCAAAGCACATGAAACATGAAGGTGAATGCTTGCAATCACTCATTCATAACAGCATGCAAAAAGGAAAAACCAAAGCCTGGTTGTTAGCTGTGGATGCTCTGATATCTCTCTTAAATGCCAGTGTATTGAGATGCTACATACTGATGTATGTAAGTTTTAGCTCACATTTTGAAGTACACCAAAATCCTTTGCCAATACTGACAAACACAGTTCATTATCAATTTATGATGATCTTGGATCATGTATTTCAAAATGGTACAGCATCTGCTAACTGCAGATTGCAGGTTATGCCTTCATCAGAAAATCTGATTCGCAAAATGATTTTGTTTTACATAGTGAATTTCGTAAATCAATGGTATTCCTGAAAAATAAAACCCTCAAAGCTGAAAAAGCAGTTAGGTCAGGAGGTAATCAAGTGGGGGCTTGAAATGCCTGGCTCTCAGTCAACTCCAAGGTCGGTGAGCTGGTTCCCAGCTAGCTCCGATCTGAATTAAAAGAGGTGAGGAGGGAAGCAGTCAAACAATAGGAGGCTCAGCTAAGAGACCCTTCCATTTCCTCACGCTTTATTTGCAAGCTGATCCTTCAGCCAAGTCCATGAAGCAACACCAAGTGTTGGCCAATCAAGGAGACTCGTCCTTTTCTCCGGGCTGTTGGGCTCCAAATCCATCTGATGGCCCCTGGTGCTCTAATGCACACAACAGCTTGTTGGGGCTTCTCCGGTGGCATTTCTCACTTTTGAAGATGTGCAAGGGCCTACTGAATAGCAAGGTCTTTGAAGACAGAGGCAAGTCTTGCTTACTGAGTATATTCTCAGTGAATATTTACTGAACTGAGGGTTTGGAGACAATGCTCAGTGAACTATAAACCAGAGCTTAAGTACCATCAAAACAACCGCTCTGGAAGAAAAATAATGTCAAACTGATCATACTACTGAAAACAAAAAACAAAACAAAACAAAACACCACGTACAGATGGTCACTCAAGCTTGGGTTTTGTCAGCTGGTTTAGGAAGGAGCTGCATGAGGACTGATAGGTTGATTCTGTGAAAGAAGGCTGTCCCATCGTTAGCACTCAAGGGAGAATTCCCATCATGACCTTTGGGTGTCATTTCTCAAGGGAGGTGCTGATTGAAATGGGGAGGATTCTTGGGTCCACAGATGTCCCCAAACTATGGACCTGGACAACTAAAGGGAAAGCAGTGAGTAATGCGATAAATTATAGAGGCAACTGAGTAGGGACGCTATCCATTTGTTCCAAAACCTGATTGGCTGAAAGTGTTCCCATTTCTAATTGGCTTTATCCATTGTATAAAGACTGATGAATACAATTATTTGAATAACTGTTATAAATGGGCAACATAAAGTACTTCTCTGTAGTTAATTATGAATTTGCAGTTCTCAGAAGGCTAATCCCTCACTTCTACGTGGCCCAATGACTATCAAAGCATTCTACATATGTGCTTGGTGCCCACTGAACCATACTAAACAAGGATGTTTCAAGCAGGCAGCTTTAATGCCAAAGGCATGTTTCCCAGGGGGAGGGCATTAGAAAGCTAATTTTAAAAGATAAAGACAAATATGTTTATGAAGTATCCTTGATAAGCAAAGTTTCCAATAAAAAGCAACAGACAGTTGATATACACCTCATTAAAGCTGAAACTGTCATTGTTGATGGCATAAACTTTAAAATATACCAAATCATCTGGAATCTACTGCTCGGATTATGCTCCAAAGTGGGAAGCCATTTAGGCTAGTGGCGTTAAATTTGTTTTTGCAGTACTATTGTATTTTATGAATCTATAGTTCTCTGCCATAGTTGAATAACTTCTGAATCAATCTAATTAGAAAGGGTTTACTGAAGCACCGCATATCCAAGTGAGGACAAGCAAAAGTTGTTCCTTAAAATTGCCTGGGCTTAGGTATTTTTCTTTCATGTTAAAAATTATACACCTCTCATTTTCTTGAAGAAAAAGACAAAGATGCATTTTATGAAGCAGAGAATACGCCTCAAAAGAAAAGCTCACAGTTTACCAGTAAGTGGGAAATTACTTCGTAGTTCTTCTCTTTAAACTCTCATACCATCCACTAAAACCTTTTCTAGTCATGTCTAATTAAAATGTATTCAACAGATGTCTTTAAACTTTGTTAATCAAATGCAAGTTTACTTTCTGTCCAATGGCTTTCTTGGTGCAATTAATAAGGCACGGTAATTTCACACAGGCCTGAGAGTCGCCTCTTCTGCAGACGTGTGTGTATGGAGCTCTTTCGTGGTGCTGCACTGGGCTGAACACACCCTACACCTTCTCAGCGCTTCGGGAGCTGTAATTCCTCCCTTTCAACAGTCACCGCTAGCTTCTAACAAGTGGTATCATGTGACAATTTTAAACCAGGGTAAGGAAAACCTTAAAAAAAATGAGAAACAATAAGAAATTCCAGATATTTAAGTGAATACAAGGTCAAGTAAAATGTAAATGCTCATGGGTTCATCTCAACAGGGTATCATTTTTTTTTCAGACAATTTCAGAAAAAATATTGATCAAATAAAACCTCTGTGAAACAAAAACTTAACCCACTAGCCCTAGTACCATTCCCATTATGAAAAACAAAGTAGGCGATGGTCTCTCTCTTACCTAAGCAGCATACATCTGATCACTTGGCCATATTATGGAAACTGTTACTTCCATCACCAGCCATAACAGTGCAGACGCCCCCGGGAGTTTTAATCTAAAAGCTCAGTCATCCTGTTCTTCCTGCTTTGTCAGCTTTTGTGGAGAGTTTCTCCCTTCTTCCCATTAGCAGAAATTTGGTTCACGCCGTTTAACAGTAGCACATTGTTTCCATACTGCATATCAAGGCTGAAACACAATCTTCAGGTCCTGCAGCCATTCGTGAACCGCTTTAGCTTTGTTCTTGTGTAGAACACAACAATGTCTGCAGAGTCCCTTGACTGAATGACAGCCTTTGAATGCCACTGTTATGTACTCAGACAGAGAGATGTACATAGAGGTACATACACAGAGGGTGGACATAGCGGTTGTCATAATGCGCACTGCTGGCTAGGGTTTTCTTTGCAAACAGGCTAGAGAATTTCCCCACAAATTGAATAGAGAATCAGGTAAGAAAATTTCATGTGCTTTTAGAATTCCATCATGGTTTGCACTACTTATGAAATAGGGAGACAGAGAGATGGATGGGACAGTTACCAAAGGGCAACAGTGTAGGATGTGAGCACGTATCTAGCACTGGCCAAACATTTTGAAACCAAAACCGAAAATGAAGTATTCTTCTTCCGAGGGGTTCCCAGTTTGAGTGTTGCCACATTTACATGCTGAATTGAGAAGTATTTAAAAACTCATTTGGGATATGAAAATTCATGAGATCATCAGCCTCTACTGTATCAAGAGATAAGGAAAAGCAAGAGGGCAAGTAGACTTAATAAAATAGGAGAGGAGAGGGAGAGAGGAAAGGAGGGAGGAAGGGAGAGGGGGAACAGGAAGAGAAGGGGTGTGTGTGTGTGGGAGAGAGACAGAGAGAAAACCTCAAACCCAAGGAAGCCAGCTGATTGCAGTGCAGCAAAAGCACAAGCACTATTCCAGACCAGGGCATGCTGTCACCCGACCCCTCACGTGGCGGAGGAGGGTGGGGGAAGGGGAGAAGGGACACGCAGGGCAGAAGAAGAACAAGGCACAAGACACTTACAGAGACGCGCTCACAAACAAAAACCATCACACACACCCACACACCAATAATCATAGTTACGACTACACCATTCGTGCGTCAAGTCACTCATGCATTTCTGCCATCAACTTCAAACCATGTGGTATTAGGATTTGGCAGAATGTTTTTTTTTTTTTTTGCATTGCTCAACATGCACACATAACACAGGATTCTTCCTGTCCAGGCCTTAAGGATGAGCTCCAAAAACATTAATCAAAGGACATCCCTTGTGCCAGCCTTATCTTAAAAAAAAAAAAAAAATCCCATCCTTATGCTCACTTTTATCTTTACTACCCAATTAGATCCTTAAAAACACATTGTGGCTAATTGTTGTTTGGTTTTCTTTTTGGAGAAAATCCATTTGATTTTGAATCATGCCCATGCACTTCTAATCTTCCAATTCATGCTTATTCCAATCAGATATTGGTAAGAACAATGGTCAACATACATCAACAACTGGTATAAACTTCATACATACTCTAGCAACACAAGCTTGAATAAAATATTTTAATGAGTCTTCAAAGGGAAAGCTTTTGTACAAAATTATTCTTCTTTTCCTTTTGATGAAAAGAGAAATATGGGAAGAAATCTAGTATAAAAAGTCTTAAGACCAGCAAGAAGGTCACAGCTGGCTGACCTCTCCGTCTTGTCATTTAAGTTGCTAAGTTATTAAACCACTTCATATTTTTTCTAGGTTCAGATCACCACAGTGAACACCTCAAGATTGTTCTTAAATGAATCTTAGTCAACTGGTTGCTGTACTGAGGAAGTTGGGGGTTTCAGCCACAATTCACTAGAATAAAATTGGTTCTGTATCTTCATCTTTTTGGAAATCTGGGTCCTTGCTTTGTAATTTTCACCTTTCTATCCTAACAACTGACCTGGAAGATTTTTCCCTCTGTCAAATAAAAATTTTGGATACTACCTTTGTTTTCATTAAAGCTTTTTGTTGCGGGCCAGAAAATGTGCTGTTCAAAATAGCAGTTGGAATTCTTTGTTTTTTGGACAAGTTGAAGAATGTACTTAGAAATGCATTATACAAGGATCAGCCTGGGCTATCCATCACTTCCTTATTCTTCATCATTAAGGAGTCCAATTGAAAGTATGATATATATCTGTATCTCTCTATGTTACTAGAAGGCTATTAGTACTCCCTATGGGTTCCTCCAGATTTCTTGGTTCTAGGTTTGTTTCTCATGCCCTGCTAGTCAATAGCATCCTACAGAGGTAACACTGTAACCACACTAGTGAGACAATGGTTGTTTCTCAGAGTGCAGACATCTCTACTTCCTACCTCAGGAATGCCGGAAGCTTCAACTCCAAGGTCTCTTCTCTCTCTCCAAAGGGCCCCCAAAACAGGACTGGCCCCTATGTTAAGTCCTCATGTTTCAGTTTGGGGGACAAATTTACTTTAAATATTCCACCCAATTCTCAGACCTACCTCCGGTAGAGTTACATAAACCCATGGATTTTATTGAAGGGACCTAGAAAATAGAATTCTGCGGCTTTAGAAGATAAGCGATCAATATTTCTTCAAAGATCTCATAGAACTCAGGAATCTTATGGTTACATTTGACCCTATAGTTAATTATGGGAAGCTCAGAACTCAAAGTATCTTAAAAAGAATGGAACAAAAAAATTCTCTTGAACTACATTAAAATAGCCTTAAAGCTCTGAGAATAATCGATAAAAGTCAGGAGGTGCTCAATTAATGATGAAACCTACAAATAACTAAGCTTAATGGAGTTCAATGCCCGGGATGTAGGCAGCACTATGGGGCATTACCTTAGAAACTTAGTTTTATATCTAATTGATTTCTCATGATTGTCAGTTTACCTGGCTCCTTTATCTTATTTTATGAACTTTGCTGCTTGTGCCAATGACAGAAAGGGTAGAGCGAAATGGGAGTGGGATGGAGACAGATACTGTGCTGTGCCTATGTTTGTGTTGCTTTCTCAGAACTCTTTATTGCAAAGTCTCCACATGGGCATGATGGGCCAAGTATCAAAGGCTGCTCTTTGGGGCGGGTAAGGCTGCTGCCTGCAGTGCTGGCATCCCATATGGGCCCTGGTTCGAGTCCTGGCTGCTCCACTTCTGATCCAGCTCTCTACTATGGCCTGGGAAGGCAGTGGAAGATGGCCCAAGTCCTTGGGCCCCTAGGCAGCTCTTCAAGGATAGCTCCTAAAGGGCAGGTTTTGCTTAGAGATTTCCAATTGATAAGCGATCAAATGTAGGTCTCTTTAAGGAAGTCAGTCTGTGCTAGGAGATGTTTCTCAACAAGTTGAATTAGCACTACAGGCTTGGCTGATCACCTCTTGTCATTTAAATGATAGATTTCCACCCTGCACAACACATGCAAAGTGATTGAAGTAGGCCCTTTACCAAATGATTCCCTTGGATTCAATTATTAAAATTCAGCCCATTTTTAAACTAACATATCTTTTTCTAAGCACAATCTTGCCAAGGTTGGATTTGAGCTAAGTAATAAAGCAACATACAGATGAAGCATGATTCTCATTTTCTGATTGGGAAGACACAGAAAAGTTAATAGACTTATCCCAATCCCTTAAGTCACTGGTGAGATGGAGGAAAGGAGGAGGGCGTATTTCCTGGTGTCCCCTGCTGAGATTTCCTTTATTTATTTTTTTTCAATCACCTTTCAGTTAAACATCAAACCCAACTTTTTACGACTTTGCCTACCTGACAGCCACACCAATGACTTTTTTAAAGTCCTGGCTAATGCTGTTAAAATTGAAATATGTGTTGTTCTGGATTTGGAAATATTTCCTGCCAAGCGTGAGTGTAAGTTTATAGAAACACACTGACATTAGAGGGAACTGGCGAGGGGGGTGGAGTAACTATGATTAGGAGCGAAACTGGAGTCATGCGCTTCCTACACAAGCCCCGTGATGGCCTTTCTCATCACCATCAGGAACTGAAGCAGGGACTCCCTTCCTGAGCTACCCTTCACCCCAACTACTAAGCCACACAAATGACTCCTCTTCAAAATTTCCCCTGGTGTAGCCTATAGTTGAAGAGAGCAACTGGGTTTTTAGTTCAACTCTAGGGCTTTCAGGCAAATATCAGCTGTCTTGACTTGCCATGTTTTCTTGCCCGGTTTGGCGGAGTTTTCTAAGTAAGGAGAACTATCTGCAACTGCAACTGTCACTCCAGCCAGCCAGCCAGCCAGTGAGGAGGCCTGGTCTCGGATTGCAACCATTGGCTACAGAACTCACAACAGAAATGACAAGACTCGACGTCCTTTCAAGCCTTCAAAAATTACAGCGTATGTATGAGATCGGTCTACTTGAAACACGATTTCCCTTGAAGACTACATTTCTCTTTTTCCCAGGCTTGCCTTGCCTCTCAGCAGCGCTGAGAAAGTAGATAAACAGTAATGTGATACCAACCGTGAACTGCTGGTTCTGTCGTCGCCGTTGTGTCTACAGACGGGAACAGAGGATTGGAGGAAGGGAAGAAACAGGAGGAACGGCATGCAAAAAAAGGGAAAATGGAAAAAAAATGGAACAGATAATATATGAGCAAGCTTTCAAAGAACACCGCGTGACAAGCAATAATAAATGAAAAGCAAAAAGCATTTGAAGTGAGTTGCACTGTTTTAAGACATGCCTTGAGCTCCAAGCTGCGAGCCAGTGAGGAAAACAGTAAATTCTTTGGTTCTGGGGGTCTTGCCAGGACACATATATTTGCTAGTCAATAGTCAGGGGAGCATGCAAAGTGATGAGAAACACCAGTGCAAACTAAGTGCTGGTAGACGGCTCTTAACGCATCAAGGCTCAGGACGGCGACAGAAAAAGCTCAGTCGGAAGCTGGTTAAACAATGGATTCAGACATTCAAACATTGCCTTTGTTTTAACCCAACCCACCCGGGGACTCGGGCTTCTTGACTGCCAATTAGGCATCACTGCATCTCCTGCTTTGACTGCGTATGCTCAGGTGCCTGCGGGATACACAGGGTCACGGTGTCCATCTACTGCAGCAGAGGTTACCTGGAAAGGTCACTGAACTGGGAGGCCATGAACGTGTTCCAGGTTGTCACAGATGAGCCTGTGTAGTCACACATGCACACCCACTAATCCGTGCTTCACTCTGCAGCTCCTCACTACGTGTTACGAGAGCAGAAGCCTTTCATGAAAACACCCCAGCCTACAGAGTCTGCCAAAGCCACTCTGATCACATGAAATGCCAAAAACTCTAAGTAGTCAGCCATCCCATTGCTCCCAATTCTGAAACACATGCAGCGCTGTGGCTGCCAGAGGTCCTGCCTTCAAGCCTGGATCAGGAGACAGAGCAGTTATTTTTTTCCATTGCTGCGGAAGAAAAAACGTGCTTTGTGTCTTTCTTCTTCGAGTTCTGTCGCAGTTCAAGTTTTCACCTTCTTCTACCCGGTTTCTAAGCCAGGCCTGTTGCACTGGCTCCTCTTCACAGGACATGTCTCCAAAGTGCTCGAGGAATTGTTCCTTTCTTTTTGGCTGGAGGGGAAGTGGGATAAATAGCCAACAAAATGCATGATGACATTCTTTTTCCCGGAGTTATTTGAACACCTCTCATCTCGCCAACTTCCAGCGTCAACCCATCTGGCCATGCTTTCATTTTCAGTTCCTCAGCTCTCAAGCACGGTGCCTTCCACCATCCCCTTCCGGCCAGAAAGGAAAGCTGGCGACTGAAGTGGGGTTCTGGGGTCACACAGCACGCAAGTCCCTGTCCGATTTCATAATGCTAATATTTAGCTGGGTTCTCTTTTCGTAAGTTGCAGAGTCTCCAACAGACTCTTTCGGACTTGACACAGGCAATGTTTAAATGCACTGGAACACCAAACGTAGCTTTATTTATTTATGTATTTATTTTTTGTCCAATGAGCCTGGTGCTTCTGATTTATAAACGCGGCACGTGAATTCACACCGGCGTTCCCCTCCACTCGGCATGCTTTCCTCAGGACCCTGTACCTCCAAAAACTAGAGCACTTTTAGGAAGCCAGAATTAACCAGAAGCCTGAGAGGCCAGTAGTGCAGCTTAATATAACTGATAGCTGGAATTGCTAAAGAATAGATGAAGGAAAGAAAAACATAAAAAATATACCGCATAAGAACATAATACTTACAAGTCAAGTCTGTGTGCACAAAATAGCAGTAAAAACAATATAGAAAATTGTACAGTTGAAACACACTCCACACCAGATTCCCCTGACACAGATGGCATGTCCCCTTAGTTAGATCATCCAAGTTCAGTGCGAGTTTGAAGTACTTTAAATTTGAGGGGCAAAATCAAATGTACTTGTGTATAGAAACACGCATATGCACATCAATACATCTTATGGACAGGTAATTGGCTCCTGTCCACAAGTAGAAAGAAAGAAATAAACATTTTGGTTCATTATTTTTGTAGTAGCACTTGGAATATGCTTTATTTTCACCAGGTAAATAATTAGCATAAAGTCAAAGAAAGGGGGTGGAGTTAGAGCCCTCCAAAATAGTATCTAGCATTAACCAATGACCCCAATTTACTGTCTTCCTACATCACAAACATTATGTCAGCTCCATGATGAGATTAAACCAAGGGCAGCTAGGCGTCAGCTCCTATGTGGGTTCTAGAAAATAAATGAGGGAAAAAGGTCACAGTGCACCTTGCTTCCCCATCCTCGAGAAGAAATCCATCAATTGCACCCAGAGGAAAAAGGGGTGTTGAGAAGGAAAAACACATTCTCAAACAGTTCAAAGCAAACACAGGTTCAAGTCAAACCACACAGATACTGTAGCTGGAGATGGCAAAACCACGATCAGCAATGGAGTGCGGAAATGCAGCGGCTATGCAGGCTGGCTGCAGCTTGCGGGCCAACACTGAGGTGTATCTGGGGAGTCGCTGACTCCATTTCTCTAAGAGCATCTGGTATGCAAGGTGAACAGAGGCTATTTCAAGTGAAGAATTAAGAAAGAATTCTTTAGAAGTCCTAGGTGCTCCCTGCAGGAGAGCGCTGATGGGATCCAATTCTCCTTCCTAATGGCATTATGACTTCATGCACAGCAGACACCCTGGCACTGAAGTGGGATTTATTAGGGTATCTTCATCCAAAGCCTGGGGAAGTGTGCAGGCCCACCCTTGTGAGTCAATTTGTGGGGTCACCATATTGCTTGACAGCATTCTACATGTCTAAGCAAACAACTTCCACTATAGGTTATACATGCCGACAACGGCTTGAAAAATGAGTGACTAATTACCTTAACAAAGTTTTTTTTTTTTTAATCTCATTTTGTCACGACCTTAAAAAAAATCATCTTTGAGCAAGCCCTCTAAGAAAACTAAGTCACATAAAGTTGAATTAGACTTAATGGTGGTATTGGGTCATGAAATTAAAAGGTCTACTTGAGCTATAGTCTTGATTTTAATTTTAATTACAAGGAGAACAAATTTATAGTACATTTATCTTATATGGCCAACAACAACAACAACAACAAATCCTATGATTATGCAAGCCTACAAGTGTGCATGGTGTTGGCAGGCAACTCTACCTGTTTTACGTACAAACAAGGGGGCCAAGGATGGGCCCTCCCACTGGTATTGTACATTTCACAAGTACTGGCTTCTCTTCTTAAGTCTCCCATTCCTACAAATAGTTTCTGGAACCTCCTCTTGAATAAATGAAACATTTACTTGTGTTTTACATTGCGGTGTAAAACGAAAAAGCACTGGCAATGTGTGAAATCAGAGTTGCTAGCCATTTCACCAAGCAGCAAAATAAATAAATAAATAAATAAAAAATTACTGCCTGAGAGGCAGCTGGGCAATATTTAGTTGCAACAGTCATGTGTAAGCTCCACTGTGGCACGTTCTAATCCTTTCATATGGATTCCCTCCAACTTCGAATTGTTCATGGAGTGTGACAGACTGGGGGTTTAAAAACTAATCCATAAATTAGTCTGTGGTCTCAAACACAACGGGTGCCATAAATGAAAATGAAAATCCTAGGACAAAATTAAATTCACAACCTTAAATACTTTTTCTTCCCCAATTGATCTGTGGTGCTCCTGCTTGACCATGCGGGGCCGCGAGGCGAGAAGGCTTGGTGGGGCGGGCAGGGGCGCGGTGCACAGCCAAACCGGCATGGCGCGGTGGCCCAGAGAACCTACGCACTCAGAGGCAGCTTGAGTGCGAGACCGTGAGGAGTCTACATTCTCCCATTTTGATTGTCATAAGCGTTGATGAAGGCACACTAAGCAGTCCAGACATATTTTAATACACTTTCACCCAGTTTATTTTCTTAACTAAAGTCAATAAGGAGCCAATGGGTTTTCTCAATTGAATTCCCCTTCAGTCTGTGTTATGGAAGTGCTTTAAATCCAGACACCAGGGCAGGCAAGGAATTCCCCTGACAATTTGTTTTCATAGTTACGCTGTGCTGGCCACTATCTATTAAATATGGGGTGCTTTTTTTTTTTCCTTTCCTTTTTGTTTCAACTTCTCTGGAATCTATTGAAAGCAAAAATAAGCGCTGGGAAATTAAACTATGAAATTTATTTTCTCCTGCTTTGCTGGTTAATTTTCTTTCCATCTATGTTATGCTTTAATTAAACTCCCAGTTCTTAGAGATGGGAGAAGTGGATAGGAACAGAACTAAAGCTAAAAGGCCTAAATAGGAGAGGCATAATAAAGCTCTCTTCCTTTTTAATGTCATCTCTCCTCTGAGTGAAGACACTGTGTGCCACAGAACAGCAGGAAGGGGAGTTGAGTTTTTGTTGTTGTTGTTGTTAAGCAATTTCAAGTTTTGTTAAAAGCTTCTTCAGAATTGTTCACTCGTGCTGCTGTGCCCCTGAGATCTTCTCATTTGCAAACCAGATGTTCTGCAACATAACAGGAATCTGTACAGTGGCTTCATGTAACAAGGAAAACAGTTCCTGCATCACCTTGAGTGTGCACGCTGGATGAAAGGAGACAGGAGACGCAGGCCAGGGGGGAAGAAGGGCATTGCAGGGGTGTGACTGCTGAGGGGAGGGAACAGGCTCTACACATCTCCCTCATCTTCATCCTGTGTTGGGTACCAAGGCTGAGTCCTTCTTGCCCAGTCCTTACGTCCCACTACCGAGAAAGTTCCAAGTACTTCCTAATCCTGAAAAACCTGCTCTCACGATGCTAGTCATTTGCTTTGTTGATAGATCTTTACTATGGAAACACGTCTTTCACTCCAGGATTACCTTAAAAATAAACAACAGAAAATATGATGGAAAAAAATAAGGAAAAAAAAATCTCACTTCCTTTCATTCCATTAAAAAAAAAAAAAGTGGAATCAGATGGCCGCCTGCAGTCTAATTTCTTCCATTCCCTCTTAAATCAATCTGGATCAAAACTGAGTAGCAATGATGAGACCTGTAACAAGTTTAGAATTCACCAACAAAATAAAAATGCAGACACATAGGACAGAATAAAAATG